CAGACAGAGAGAGACATAGAGACAGAAAGCGAGAAATCACCCCCCAGGGGGGATGGTCACGCCGCAATCCCTTCTCCTCCATTCTCCTCTCGGGATCTTGGGCACGCACGCACACGTGCCCGGCGTGAGTTTTAAGCCACCGGGTCCGGGACACGAACCGCAGTCGACTACGTGGGAGTCCAGCAACATAGCCATTACGCTAACTGCTGGTTCCCTCAACCTTAATTTTAAGGAGATTCCTTTGCTTAATAGCATGGACCATATTGAAGACACTTTGTCTAGGATCGTTAATAGTCAGTGGAAGCCTGCCTACTAGAAGCAGGCTAGAATGAGCTGCAATTTGAGTTCAAATCTTGAACTGAAAGCGAGTAAGATTAATCAAGGGGCCAGCAGGTGGCATGGTGGTTAAGGACACTGAACTCCCATATGACTGATTTTGAGTTCGAGTCCTGGACCTGGTGACTTGCTTTTTCATTTTCCCTCTTGCTCTGTCCCTCTTTGGTCAAAGTTAAATAAATAAATAAATAAATAAATAAGGTTAAATAAAATAATTCTTTAAAAAGTCAATCAAAATACTACAAATCATTCTTAAAGAATTAAAAAATAATTATTGTGGAGGTCAGGCAGTTTGGATAACCAGAGAGTCTGATCTTCTTCCCTTCAAACAGACAGAACATCTGCTGGACAGACCACAGGGCTATTGAATAAAAAGGACCCATTCTACCCTCTCTAGTCTCCTTTCTCTGCCAGGAGACATGTGGGAATGAAGTGCATAGAAGCTCACCTTTAGTGGTTAGAGTTTCAAATGTTCTAGGCTTTTTTATCTTACAGTGGTTTCCATGTGTATATTATTAGGACAACAACTAATTTTTGCAAAGAGATCTTATAGGCTACGTTTCTTGGTTGATGGCATTTGTTCCCCTTAATTAACAATGTTGATTCACTAACTTTATGGACTTCACTATCAGCCCAAGTGACATGGTCCCTGTCCCAAATTGCTCGGAACCCAAATGAGGTGCAAGATTAGAAAACGAAAGGGTTAGACTGTGATGAATGCCAACAACAGCACATAGCTGAATCGAAACCAAGCAGGACAGAGTAAACCTTTCCTCTGTCTCACTGTTCGATTTTTTTTTTTTTTTTTTTTTTTTTGGGGGGGGTTTTTCTTTTAGGCGTGTGT